CCATAGACATGCCGGCTGCGGCTCCCTGCGCCCCCGCCGGCTGCGGCTACCTGCGCACCCGCCGGCTGCGGCTACCTGCGCACCCGCCGGCTGCGGCTACCTGCGTACCAGCCAACAAGCATGCAGATGGAGGCGAACTTTAACCAGCCCTTTAAATAACACGCTGGAAAGTACAACAGGCTGAGCGCCGGACCAAACGCGAGCCCCAGATGAAAGGGCCGCTTCCTCTGATCGCGCAGGCTCTCTCAAAACGGCGGTCACAAAGCGGGCCTTCTGAGACTGAGAAACCCGGCAGAAAAGGGTGGAGGGGGTGTGGATGTCCTCTCTCACCACCCTGGGGGATTTAAGTTTCCTCTTGGGTCATGTGGGTTCTGGCTCCACCCCCTCATCCGTTTGTACTCTAGCCCCACCCCCAACCTGACACACTTCAGCATGCGGCAGGGCCCCTCCCACTTCTGGGAAATTAAATTGCAGCACACTTGCCAGAGCCACTCTGGAGAGCCTTCCTCCGGCACTCAGCCAATGGAGAACACATCCAGGGCTCTGGGGCTGCACGGCTCCTCCCCGCCCCCCCTCCCCCTTCAGACACAACCAGCCAGCCTGCCCCCTTCGACGGTCACGCGTGGGGGGAAGGCGGGCTGGGCACGCAAACGCTGCCGTGACCCAGTTTCACCGCCCCTCAGCTGACAGCCTGCAAGGACAGGCCAGACCAAGACCTTTAAGAGGGCTGAGGTGAGATACGATTACAGACTGAACAGCTAGGGGTGGACGGTGGGAAAGCGGGGAGTTAAAGGGAACGGAAGCTGGAGGAAGATACGGTAAAGGAGGTCTGCTTGCAGCCCGCCAAATCAGTGAGGCAGCATTTCAGGGTCCCGTGCGACTGGAGAGCGTCACTCCTCGCCTTTCGCAAAGCTGACTCAGCGACAGCCTCGTGACCAGCCTGGGTCACGGCGGCACGCGACGGCCAGACCTCTACACAGACACTCGCTCCGTCTGTCCTCTTAGTCCTCTAAGGCACTTTAACAAAAGAACACGTCGACTAACAGGTAACAGCACACATCCCTGCCTCTAAACAGATAGACACACACGCGCACAAACACACACACACACACACAAACACAGCTGAACTGGCTAACCCGCACAGATAAACAGCAGTTTGGTAAGACTGTGGGTAACTCCATCCAGATGCAAAACAGAGAAGAATTAAAGCTTATTTCCTGATAATGTTCACTGACCGAGCCTCAGGAACAGAAACACAAACCTTTTATTTTCCTTTTGTAAAATACATCCAAGATGGCCACGTGAGTGCACAGCACAGATTGGCATCTGTCCCGATTTCACGAATTAGTGACTATTTACTAGCAGTCTGAAGTCCTTTTATTCAGCTCAGTCACCCAAAGACTCCACATTAAATATCCATATTAAAATTGGAAATTAGTGGGAGAACATTTTAAAATGAATTTTAGAAAGCACTTCTTTACACAGCGTATAGTTAGAGTATGGAATAGTCTTCCTGTTAGTGTAACGCAAGCTAAAACCCTGGGTTCCTTTAAATCAGAGGATAGATAAGATTTTAACAATTCCGAGCTATTAAGTTCTCCCCAAACGAGCTTGATGGGCCGAATGACCTCCTCTCATTCGTAAATTTCTTATGTTGTTCTATACAGGCAGTACATTTCACTTGTTTTTAAGCTCTTTGGATTCCTGGAGTTTGCCTGCATATCGGCATCTATTGTTGCAGGTACTCTGACGCAGAGACGCTGGCACAGAGTTCGTAAATAAGAGCGCGGGAGACGGGCAGGTTTACCCACACGGGCTAGCGGGCATCTTCCTCTCTGATGCACACACTCCGGCAAACAAAATGGACGAGCTAGGACCTCAGATTACATCACAGACAAGGTTTCCGGAAGGCAACGTTATTATTTTTATGGAAACATGGCTTAACAGCAACATAGCTAAAGACAGTGAGCTGCGTGGACTCAGCATCTTCAGAGCTAACAGAGCCACGCTGGACACAAGTAAATCCCTGGGGAAAATTGTTCTTTTCACCTGGACCATCTGATGATCAAGTGTAGGCCATTTTACCCACCGAGGGCTGGGCTAACGCTCCGGATGCTAACGCTTAGCTCTGCACGAGAGATCCACACACGGCCAAACCGCACACAGCCTTCATCGTATTCAACCTGACAGGTGAACTCGCTAAATTCCCTAAACAACATCTCCTGACCCACCAAAGGAGAGCATACTTTAGATCACACCTACTCTAGTATTGCAGAGGCCGACAAAACAATTACCACCCCCACCCCCCCCCAACAAGGGACAGACTGACCACCGATCACTGTGTCCGCTGCCCAAGAATTCACTGCCCATTAAATGGGAGAGACCGGCAGTGGAGATTCCTGAAGTCTGGCCAATAGGTGCCGATTCCATTCTGCAGCACTGGTTTGAACACACAGACTGAAGGGCATTCACCATTCAGGACACCTCCCAGCGAGGTGCAGCTTTCGGATCAGGCAGTGAGAAGGCCTAACCTGCAGAAGGCCATCAAAGGAGCAATGCGCAGCTGCAAACAGAAGATCGAAGTACATTTCACTGGTACCCCTGACCCACAAAACACGGCCACAAAATCCATGTCCCCCCAAGAGAAGCAGCCCCTTACATTCCCCACTAATGTGCAGGCTGTACAGAGTGGTGTCAACTCAAGGAAATCAGCTGGACCAGACGGGGCCCTCGACTTCTGCGGAACAACTCGCTGGGGTCTTCAATGACATTTTCAACTCTTAGTCAGCCCAAGTAACGACAACTGTGGTTTCAGGGCCAGAGTATCCTGCTGCCACCACCTTAGTCCATGACAGACTGCCATCGTTATGAAATGCCTTGAGAAGTTGGTCCTGACTGACCGAAAGCCAGTCCTCCACCTACCAGTTTGCCTGCTGCCCCAACAGGTCAATGGAGGACACCGTGTCCAGCCCATCGCACTCTGACATGCTTAGACAACAAGGACAGCAGTGTCAGGATACTGTCTGTGGATTTCACGTCAGCATTCAATACTGCCATCCCATCCAAACTGGTCTCCAAACCCACTGACCGTGACATCAGCACCCCACTCTGCAACTAGACTTTAGACTTTTGGACTAACAGACAGACCCCAGCCTGTTAGGTTAGGTGACTGCACCTCCTCCACCCTGTTTACTGGCTACTGGAGGCCCTCGGGGCTGTGTGCCGAGTCCTCTCCCCTACTCCCTGTTCTCCTACGATGTCTGAGTCAAACCATCGAGTTCGCCAACAACATTACAGTAGTGGGCTTGATCGGCAATTCCACAAGGAGGAAGTTCAACGTCCTGATTGGGTGATGCGGCAATAACAGAACCTTCAACACCTTGAAGAGTGAGGAGCCTGTTGTGAACTTCAGGAGAGACAGAGGCTGCAGACCTACCCCTAAGCAAGCCCCCAACTCCCATCCCCAGCTTCAAACACATCTCTGACGACTTCCCCTGGACTATTAACTCCTCCCTGCTGGTCAGAAAGGCCCAGCTTAAACTTTTTTCATTCTCCTATGAAATTAAAGTAATGTCACATCCTGACTGACTTCATCCAGTGCACCATCAAGAGAATCTTGACCAAGTTCTTGCAACGGGAGGAGGAAAACCACCCGGTACAACACTCAGCTCACCTCCTTCGAGGACCATGCTGGAACATCACGAAGCCTCCTCCAGCCCAAACCATAAACCGTTTACCCTACAGAAGTCTTGCACACTGCATGGAAATCTATGCATCTGTTTTTACCACGATCACAGGTACTGCATATACACATTATTCATACCACACCATGTGTAGCCCTGTACAGAGGGTATGCACATGACGGCAAAGAGAGCGGAAGTCACTGCGTTCAGCATTCAGCTCAAATGCTGCTAGAACACATCTAAAATGGGAAAGAGCTGCCGTGTGATTGATTGTACGAATCGATTTAATAAGAAATCGGAGCTACGTTTTTACAGGCTGCCGAAAACTAAAGCAAAAAAGCAGCTGGCCAATCGCTGCAATACGCAGAAAGAACCGGAATCCAGGCTCCGAAACGTAAATATTCAGCATCATTCATTTATATTCTGTGTAACTATAAAGCTTTGTTAAAAAACATCCATGATGATGAGCCTTCTGTTCTACAAATGAAGCGAGCGATTATCAGACAGTGTTAGCTAGCAAAGGCAAACCCAGTTTAATGTATAAGAGACGAAGCAGCCAGGAATGTAATATCTGCCAATAACGTAATGGTTTTTCCATTGTTAATGTAACAAAAGCCAATAATGCAATAACTTACTAGAAGTAAAATTTCTTAATCAAA